TTGAGAAATCGTAAAAACGACTATGCTTGACGAAAATCGACCGATTTTGTTAACCGACTGTGCCTCAAAACGAGTGTCCTTTAAAGTTGCCTCTTTGTCGTTCCATATAAAATCGCAAAACTGTTGGTTTAATGTTGCTCTTTTGGCTTTCCATATAAAACCGCAAAATTAATGACTTTTACCCGACTAGTGAATGCTGAGGTACGTACCTAAACATCACACACATGATCGGGAACGGCTAACGATCCAGTTAAAATTAATCTGAAATGAGATCGAGACTTTGTTGAGCTATGTTGTTACTGTTTTTCAGACCAAGTTTCGAATCCCAGGCGTTTATTGAGTAGCACTTTTTACATTATGCATACAGCCTTTTATTTATTTATAATATAGATAGGGCTTAATATTATGCTTATGTTCTAATTAGTAGAGTAGAAGAAATAAAATATAATTACTTTATAGACTTAATTTAAAAATTCAATTCTAATATTCCAGTCTGTTATGAGACTCTGTCACTTAACGTAAGCGAAGTATATGAACTGACGTCACCAAATTATCCAGATGATTACCCAGAAAACTCGAATTGTCTCTGGCGATTCATTTCACCTTCATCAACAAGAATTCAGATTTACGTCATAAATGTAGACATTGAAGACTACTTTGATAAACTGATCATTGGTTTCGGAGACAACCCATATGTACTTGAAAGCAGAATGTGGACGTCGGCATATGTATCTGGCGTAAATGAAACTATTGCTTCACCATATAATAAAGTTTGGATAAAGTTTTTAACCGATTATTCGATTGAATACAGCGGGTTTAAGGTTCGGATTAAAGTTGTTGAAGGTAATTGAAGAAACAGTTTTTCATAGGCCATCATTTTATTGGCATATGAATGATAAATTGAAAATATTAATATGATTGTTAAAATATTAAAAATGGTATAAAATGTAGGTCAATAATAATGGAAATATCCAAAATATTGAGATGACTATAAAATATGCTATAATTGGAGTTTTGTCAAAGCGTAAATTAACTGCAGACAAGGTTTACAAGAATCAGATGACAAAAAAATATCTTAATCTGGAGATTATAATTTAGACTGTATATACGGCAAATAAAAAGTTATGCCTAGACATAGTGTGCAAAAGAACAAAAACAAAATTAATTTAACTTTGTTTAAATTACAGATGTAATTACATGTCATCAAACGTTTAAACTACTTGACGATGAAGATCTATGTGATGGCAAATACGACTGCCTTGATAAAACCGACGAAACCGCGTGCCGTAAGACACCATATATAATTTTTAAAATACGCCAGTGTTACCTAATACTAATTCTTTGGTCTGTACAATGAGCCCCTAAGAAGCCAGCTTTTTGTTTACCCAGTATTTTCATTATAATTATTAAGGATACACTTAAAACCACAAACCATAAGGATAGGCAAATTCGACTTATTGCCTGGAAAAAACATCAGGGCCTATGATATTGGATATTTTTAGACGTTGTAGATTCTTAAAATTATGGTTGAATAACTAAAGGATAATTTAAGAAGTTAATACAGTAATATTTTTACTAAAGTATGGATTCAATAGCTCTAGTATTTTCCCACCAGATGTCTCCTACTGGACAATAAAGAAATAATGAACCTTGAATCTTATCAGTAGGCATATCATTAATTTCAGAGTGTTATTATATTTTGAAAGTTACATAATTATTTTCCATAATTCGAAATAGTTCCAGATTGCTTGCTCGATATGTATATAGCAATTGACCAGAATGGAACTCTAACGTCATCGAACTGTTCGTCCATTCATTATAACTGTGTTTACCTCTTCTCAACCCCTATTAACACGAGGACAAAACTAACATTCCTGTACTTTCGAAACACGTACGCCAGTCAGGAAGGCTTTCGATTCGGAGGTGGTCATAACCCATTTGTTGTGGAATCGGAAATATTGACTACTCCAACAACAGATGCAGTGTTTGAATTAGATTCAAATGAAGGATGGATATGGTTCACAGCGGACGATACATATAGTAGCGGGAGCTTTGCAATTCACATTTCCCAAATTGCAGGTACTAAAGTATAATGTAGGCTTCTTCTGAATATTTTAGTAAAACGGTATTTAAACTCCGAATGTGCTCAGATGCACAATTTTAATACAGTTTTTAAATACATTTAATAGAGTGATAGAAGATGATCTAGTAAAAGTGGATCACCCATTTATTAGTAGTAGTTTGGAAGCAAAGGTCCTGCCCATTCACATAAATATGTCGAATGGAATGCCAGGCCACTGTTCCTTTAATAATAAATAATATTCTAATGTTTTTATTGGTTAAATTATAGAATATCAGAATATTTATATTTGCATTATAATATATGTATAGATTAAAAGGAAAAATACTGTAAAAAAATGCTGTTGTTGCAACTTTAACGTTGATAAACATAGCAGGAACTATCGAAATATCCGTTTGATTTTGTTATAGCTTAATTAATTTGTGTTCCGCAAGTCAACTTTCAATAATTGTACACCGTTTTTTCATTGCTTTTACATTATATTTTACTTGGAGCATACACACTATATATAAATTAATTATAGTAATAAAACGCATAAAGCAGAAGTGTAGACAGTGGCGGATGGGTTCACATTTAGAGGGGTCAGACTTTTCGTAAAAACTCCAAAAAAAGGGGGCCTCGGGGGTGCTCCCCGGGAAAATTTTGATTCTTAGATGGCGGGAAATGAGCTTTCCATACTTCTGAGATGTCACTCTTTTAATGACATTTAAGTTCTTCAAAATTCAAGGTTTTCCCCCTATTGAGTATCTATTCTTTCAGATTATGTATCTGTAGAGGTAGACGAAAACCAGATATATCACTTAGATTCAAGAGAAGAGGAATTTCTAAATAAATCCTCCTACACGATCAACACACCTGTAAATGCAGTATTCACTTGGAAATTTGTAACATTGCCAAGGCTGCAATTCAATATCAATTTTCCTGATGGATTTGAAAGTTTGATTTACAATTCTATTGAAATTGGTATTGGAAGAGAGCCCACACGAAAATCGACATTGCTATTTCTTTATGACGGTTCATCTGAGCACAACAAGACAATAACAGTTGCCGATAACTCCATGTGGATAAGGTACAAAGGCGATATTTTCAATAAATACATGCACATTTATGCAATGTTATCGGCTGTCCCAAAGCACGGCGGTAAGACTAAGAGTTATTTCACTATATACACTTTGAAATTTTCGATTAGGCTTTAATAAAAACATGTGTGTTATTAAAATTTTGAGTTACATTATAACTATTATTAAAAGTAAATGCGTCTTTAGCTAAAATTAGCTGTTTGGTCTACAAGTAACTGAATTACTTCTGATAATTGACTGACAGTATAGTTTATTATCTTTCGACTTTGATTTTAAAACCTTCTATGATCAGTTACCATTTTGAAATATTTTGTCAGGCATTTTGAACGTGTATAGCATTGCTGATCCGAATACGACACACTATGTAACACACAGTGGCCCAGCATACAACTTTGACTGGATCTGGATTATAGGAAGCGAATGTTCAGGCGGATCAATTTCTGTGGAATGTATCTTACTTGATAACCCTATGCCTCGCAATAGTTATATACTCATTGGGCGAGGGCAGGATCCATCTGATTCGTCAACAATTCAAACAGTTCTGCGCACCTCATCGCCAAATGATAAATGTCCAAACGACTTTATTGTTTCTCATTTACACGCTTGGGTGAAGTATGTAGGTAGCGCACTTAACAGTGATGAGGAAGGTGCTGTATTTAAATTAGCTGTCAGGTGTATTCCTCATGAAGGTCAATAAAATCGGTTTATATTTTACTATCATCACCTAATTGCAGAAAGCTTACTATTATATACTAAATATTAACCGCTCACAATTTATACCTCAAAAATATAATTGAATTTAAAACGGCCACGTGGCATTCAAAGATAGCATGTGGCATACGATAAGTTAACCGTCTAGTTGAATAAATTATTATTTTTTGTTATCCAGATGTAGTTAATCAGATTTGTAGCACAAATGCAAGTATATCACCCGAAGACGCGTGCAATAACAAGTTTGACTGTCCTGACCTAACAGATGAGTTGGGATGTTTTGAAACAGGTTAGAATATTGAAAGACATTACCTTCAACATCCATTTGAAACGGACATCTGATAAATTTTATGGAAAAGGAAAGAACGTTCCTAATATTGAGTCCAATATATATATATATATGCTTGTATAGTATATATCCTGTCTCTTATACACATCTGGCAGCTGGCCGTGGATGGGCTCTCTACAACGGACTACAGGAGAGCACATATGTGGATGTACATTGATTGACGAAAATTGGGCGATAACAGCAGCTCACTGCATGTGAGTTAAACGGGATTAGTATCTATTTTTTAAGCGATGCATTTCACTGACAATAAAATGGCAGCCAGTAGAAAAAGGGCAAACAGCTGCATTTTCACCTCTATAACAGTCCAAATTACATTGCGCTGTCTTTATTATAATAGCTATTTGGAAGCACCATCCAGGTGAATATAAAGTTTTTACCAGATACACACACATGCAGAATGAAGAAAGTGGCGCTAGCTAACGTTTACCGTATAAATAATATACACACTGGGTAGTCTATACTATAATGTGCTGGTTGTTAATATATTAATGTGTATTTAATTAAACATTTGTTAGAAAAGACTGAAAAACCCCAATATAGTTTGCTGTAAGATTTTATCATTAACAGATTGTGTCTTGACCATTTTCAGTGAAAAACATTATGATAATGAACTTCAAATATTGTTCGGAAGTACTTCTTTGGAAAATCTTTCCCCATATCACCTAGTCGTGAAAGTGGCAATGATTTTTCCACATCCTAAATACACTACGACCACTGAAGGTTACGACATTACCCTGCTGAAGTTAGCTAAAGGTGTGCCATTTACGGATTACATCCGTCCAGCTTGTTTGTCTTTAAACCAAACTCAGTTTCAGTCTGGTCACAGATGTTTTGTATCTGGTTGGGGATTTGATGGAACAGGTAAGTTAGTAACTATTACTCTTTTAGTGGCCGTTTTCTTCCGAAGACACATTGACGGAATTCGTTAACAAAAAAAAATTTCTTAACAAGGGAAGTTAAGACATTTGTTCATACAATGTTAATGGTCTCTCTTTGTGGACTGCGGAATATTAGGCACTAATAAAAGAAAATTCACTTAGTTTACTTATTATTCACATACATAAATTGAAACAACTTCTATAGTATGTAGCATTTCAATATGAAGTAAGCGAATTAATAAATACCAGGTAATGACTGGTATAAAATCAAAGAGGTAATCTAGGACAGAAAGGGAGGCCAAAGCTTATTAGGCCTACCTATAGTAAAATTAGTTGCAAATGAGGCCTAAAAGCTATATAACTTTAAATTAGTAAAGAAACCGGTTTTAACACGGATATATACAGTCAACGAAAGAAGGAGACAATATATTTATAGACATGTACCAGAAAAGACAGTTTAATGTGAGTGTGATATCCACATCGAATATCAGAAACAATTCCTTCCATCATTTTGAAGCAAGATAAAAGGCCTATAGGCCTAAACCAGTAGACATACAACGATGTTACGTCGTTTGAATTACCAAATCAAAATTATACGAACGAAATAAAACAGAATGCTTCAAAAGTGCGTTCAAATTATGTTATTGAAATGTGAAATCTAACGGTTGTTACACTTTTTCTGATGCACTTTATCTCAACAATTTTGTTTAATCATAGTTCATTCAGTATGGTATCTAGTATTATAAAAGTACAGTGTATGTGTGGGGGTGGGGTTGTGCAAACTTTATACCTTAAAAAAGTTCGAACCAAAATTTACTCATAAAGATTAGCACATTACAGGTATTATTACTTTGACTTGTTGGTTACTTGATTTATTGGTCAGAATATGCTTAAATAATGAATATGAATGAATGA